GGTTGGGAGCAACCAGAAAGTCACCTTCCCCTAACTTAGCTCATGGAAACATTAGAACTTTATAGTTTAACAGGACCTTAGAGATCATCTATTCTAAGTCCCTCATTTTATAAATGAGGCAGTTGAGGTCTAGAAATATAAAGTGACTTCTCTACGGTCATACTGCTAGTTAACTGAAGTTCTGGGACTAGAACCAGTCTCCTGACTCTCAAGAGAGTATAGTGAAAATCCTAATTGTGTATAAACCAAAATTTCTCTAACCCAGTCGGCTGTGTGAACTTGAGCAAGTCACTTAACTTCTGCCTCCCCCATTTTCCTCAACTGAGAAAATGGGAATAATAACAGCACCTCACAGGGTTGTTGTGATTATCAACTCAGATAACACTTGTAAGCATTTAGTACAGTGACTGGACATAGTAGGTACTTAATAAATGCCTACTCCCTCCTCTCCCCTCCTAACCTTTTTTCACCTTGTAACTCTGCTGAGGGTCCTGTTTTTCTTGTTCACCATAAAATCTCTTCATTGGAGAAACCTGCACCAAATAGCATCTCTGAGAGAAGGGGAGCAGAGTCAGAAGGGTGATTAAAGAAAGGCAAGAAGGCAAGGCAGAAACCATCATGTGGTTCCTTAGCAACTCTTCCCCTGTGGGTCATGAGCTTCAGACTGAAAAGTGTTGCCTAACATTGATATACTGCCATACCACAGAAAATAGAGGTTGGGAGGGGGAGGGACAGGCTGGAAGGGCAAAGGGCCAATGATCAGTTAGAGTTTTAAGCTTCAGAGGTTTTCATCCAGTACTTTTATTTCTGCCAAGATTTCCCTTTTTGCAGAATGGAAAAGCAGGGAACTGTATTCTTAGCTGTAAGTGTGATGAGAAGGACCTAGATACTTTTAAAAACCAAGTTAGTACCTAGGAAAGATCCCACATATTATTCTCAATAAATTTTTTGACTATTGTGAGGGCTCACAATCAATGCTATCTCTATGATTGACTCAGAATGTGGAAGGCTAAAGATGGCTTGACTTTGGCAGCTGTCCATGGTCCTAAAAACCAAAATGCACAAAGGAGCCAGGATAAAGATTTGGAAGTGGTCAGGTGCAGTGGAAGGGGAAGGCTTTGACCAATCTTTATTCTGTGTTTTAATATGCTTGCTGTCTTTGGAATATGAACATAAAATTGCCAACCCCAAAACAATAGACGAGTCATGCATTTTTTTTGGAGTCGGGAAAACCTGAGTTTGAATCCTGCCTCTGACACTTACCTGCTATGTGACCCTGGGCAAGTCACTTAACCTCTGTCTGCCTCACTTTCCTCATCTGCAAAATGGAGACAATAAAAGCATTGTTATTGTCTCCCCCGGGGATGTTGTGAGAATAAAGTGGGTTGATATTTGTAAAGTACTTTGCAAACCTTAAAGTGCAATATAAAAATGATTATTAGGTAGTTATTTTCTAGTAGTGATAAGGGATTTGCTCTAATTCATCTGAATTTTAATGCCACTAATAATAGCTAGCATTTATATTGTGCTTTAATGAAAATTGAAGATTTTTTTAATTGAAAAATTCTTGTACATATGTTATCTCACTTTATCCTCACAACAACTCTGGGAAGTAGGCACTATTATTATTTTCATTTTGCAAATGAGGAAACTGAGGTAAACAGAGGTTAAATGACTTTCTCAGAGTCATACATCTAGTAAGTGTATGAGGATAGTTTGAACTCAGGTCTTCCTGACTCCAGGTCCAGTACTCTATTCACTGTGCCATGGAGCTGCCTCATTACTATGTGCTAATGCCCTTTCTGACTAGTAAAGTAAATAAAATCCCTATCTGAGGTTATTGAATGATATGTTGTCCTGGATCAGAGTGACACTAACTAGCTCATGAGGATAATCCATGGGGGTCAATTGGAAACCTTCCTGAGCTGTAAGTATCATGATAAAGGATTTTTTTTTTGTTTCTTGAGAAGTCTATTGAGAAAAACCCAACTATCCTAAAACCCCAACTTCTCCCCCACAAAACCCTGAAATTATTTGATATGATAAAGGATTTTTTTTTGTTTCTTGAGAAGTCTATTGAGAAAAACCCAACTATCCTAAAACCCCAACTTCTCCCCCACAAAACCCTGAAATTATTTGATAAAGGACATTGACAAGCTAAAATGCATTCATTGAAGATGACCAGGTTGGTAAGGGGACTTGAAACCAAGTCATGAGGGTTGCTTGAAAGAACTTGGAATGTTAACTCAAAGATGCTCCTTGTGTTTTCTTAAAATGGAAAATGTGCTTATTTGAAAAAGTGGAATTATTACGAGCATTACTACAGGAGACTTGACAGGAAATGTGGGTTATATTATCAATATTATATCTGATGGATTGTTAGGCGAAAGAGGGCTCAGACTTATTCTATTTGGCCCTCAAAGTCAGAAGTTGGGAACAAGGGGAATCAATTCAAAGAGAACAGCTCCCTAACAGCTTTTGCTGTGCAAAGATAGAATGGACTGCCTATAAAGATGGTAAATCACTGGAGATGTGAATAGAAGCTGGCTGATCACTTATCAAGGCTGTTATAGGTGGGATTCCTGTTCAGGTATGGGTTAGACTAGGTACTCTTTGAGCCTTTTTCTGGTCCCTCCTCTTGCTAGTCTCTTCTAAGATTACTTTCCACTTATTGTTTATACTTTACTTAGTCCCTGTTCGTCTTATACTTAGTTATTTACATACTGTCACCCCTATTAGAATTTAAGCTCCTTGAGAATGGGGCCCAGGTTTTTGCCTTTTTTTGTGTCCCCAGTATTTAATATGGTGCCTGGCACATAGTAAGTGTTTAGTAACTTCACCTTTCTACTTCTAAGATACTAGGATTCTCTGATCGGTCCCATCCTGAAATGTAGATTTATCTTAAAATGGATACAAAGTCAATATTATATACAAAAAGTGATCACTAAATTAATTTAACCTGGGATTAATATCCCTAAAGAGTTACATGAGAAAAAAAAGTAGGACTTTGAAATGGGGATATGGCTGAAAGGGGGAGAAAGAAGGTTGGCCACTGTGGAAACTTTGTATTGAAATAGGGTGAAGGGGAGAATATGAGTGCAGAGTGGGATAGATAGAAATAGCTTTATCAGCACCTGGGGAGCATATGTCCTGTAGTTGGAAGTTGGATTTTTGTGGATGCCATACACAGCCATCCCACACTTCAGGAAATGGATTATATACTCAGAATGAGCAGTGCCTCAAAGAATAAACATTCCCATTCATCACGAAAAAAAATCCAAGAGCTTTGAAAAGAGGCCGGCTCTTCCTCTTTGAGATGTTGCATCAAAATACTCCTTATGTTTTCTGAGAGGCAAAATGCTGCCTGTTTAAAGTGTGCACACTGTCAAGGTTACTCAAGTGCAGCAGCAGGAGAGCTTTTCTTCATTAAATAGCTGGAGGATAGCCTGGTTACAGATGTAGCTACTTGTCTAAGTCTATTCACTTAGCGCAGATGAAGAGCCCAGCAAGTAAAAGCCTGGCACAGTTAGGAGAACGGCAAGGTTCCTAGTACCATCTGTTTATCTGCATTGAATGGCTTTAGGATGGTCCTATTCCTTCTATTTGAGAAGATGTTAGTGGTCCCTAGAGGGTGAATTTGGAGTTATTTCTGCATCTTTAAAGTGCTGAGTTTGGTGGCACCCAATGCAGCCTGGTTAATGGGTCTCTGAATATCAGATGATCAGAAGTCTCTGAACATCAACAATCCTTAGGAAGGCAGACTGTTGTATGCATCTGACTTCACTCTCCTATTTTATAGTGGGGAGAAAGGATCAATAAGGCTTTCCTGATATTGTGCATGGTATGTTCTTCCTGATTGCCAGTGATTAGGAAAGCTCCATGATGGCAAGGTCAGGGAACAGCATGTTCCTTACCTGGACTGAGGAAGTGGGACTGAATTGGGAGGACAGAAGTCTAAATGAAAAAGCTAGTCTGGGTTGGTTTCTAAAGTGTCTGTGGAGCATCAAGATCCAGGGGACTCAAATGAATGGACAACTTGGTTCATAATTAGAGTTGCAGAAGTTGATGGATTAGGAAGCCAAAATACAGGGATTTTCAGAGAATTTGTGGTTTGTCTAACTCAACTTGATTCTCTAAAGCCTCAGTCTTTTTTGATTATTGCTAGTGCCTTGTGAGCCAATCCCCTGACACCACCAATGTACCCATGTGGTCATGGGTAGGGCCAACACATCTCTTGACCCAGCCACTAACATTGGCTCCTAGGATAGTATAGCCCTAAACTGATGAATGGACTTTAGGACTATAAATTCTTGTCATCATTAGTACTAGTAAATGAGAAGGGTTGTATTAATGCCCACAAAATAGGTTTGATGAATGCCTGTCATGCCATTCTAGGCCACAGGACTACAGAACATTGACTCTTTTGTTTAACATGACCTTGAATGAAAGTGGCAGAATATGCTGTTAACTAGGGGAGGATGGTTATTAGAATTGGGAAATAACAACTGAGCAGGCTGGTGGATGCTTTTGGGGGGGGAGAGGTAGAGATGGGGAATTGGAATAATGAAGGAGCTTCTCTCAGTCCACTTACCAAATAGGAATGATGGGGTCAAACCACTCAGTAGAATGTAAGTTATTTGAAGGTGGGAACCCTTTTCCTTTTTGTCTTTGTGCCGCCAGCACCCAGCTCAGTTCCTTGCACATAGTAGGCACTTCATCAATGTTTATTGAATAGAAATTAATTGAGCCAAATAGCCAGTTTTCTAACCTTAAGGGTTGAGTGGTAAAGCTCTTTGGTCTGCACCCAGCATCTGGCATTCTCCTCTCCCTTCTTTGTCTGAGAGGGCCAGACACAGCTGAGCTCTCATGCGTGAGGGGAAACAGATGGTGTGTGAACTCATGAATGACTACTGGCTCAATTTTGAGGCAACTGCACTGTTTAGGGAGGGGACTGTTACTCTAGCAGAGCATCAAATCAGGCAGAGAGAAATGCTAATCTCTTCCCTTAGCATCATGTTTTATTTCAATGGTGGTTTTGAATATGACAGTGACATTTGCTTTCCATTTCATGGAGACAAACGCGTGGCAAACACACAGAGGACATGACTACTTTCTAGCTGATTGCATCATTACCCCAAAGAAGTCTGAATTTCTGAACTTACCTACCTTTAAACTAGGCTTCTGATTAGAGGAATACAGGTCATGGTCCTTAGAAACTCTTATAAAATTACTCTAGACAAATCTATTTTAGGAAGAATATTTTGGATTTCTTCACTAATGTTGCCAGAGAGTCACCAAATTCTTCTTCAGTGAATTGAAACTTTGTTCTAAATTGGGGGTGGGGAGCAATTACCTTTAGGGAGCATGGTCTAACCTGTAGAAAGGACACTGGATTTAGAATCAGAAAGACCTGGGTTTGACTCTGGTCTCCATCAAGCACTTGTTATATGACCTTGGTTAACTTCTCTGAGTCTCATTTTCCTCATCTGTCAAATAGAATCAGTCTGGTCTATTGGAAGGGGTTCTATGCCAATAGACCAGAGACTTAGATTCTAGATCTGGCTTGCTATGTCATCTTAAACATTACTTTACCTTTTTAATTTGCATTATGTCTCAAATAAAAGAGTTGGATTAGGTAATTTCTACAGTCTCTTGTAGCTTAGCATTTTACTATCTATTTCTTCCTTCCTTCCTTTTTTCCTTCCTTCCTTTCCTTTCTTGCTTCTCTTTCTTTCTTTCTTTCTTTCTTTCTTTCTTTCTTTCTTTCGTTCTCTATCTTGAAAGATTGCCATGAGGATAAAGGTAATCAATGTATGTAAAAATGTCTTGTTAATATAAAGTTCTACATACTTATTATTTGAATGGCGTGAATAAAATAGCTAGTTGGCAAAAGGAATCTTTAGATTTCCATTATTCTCTCCTGGAGAGTTAATGATTGGGGTTGATGCAAGGTCTTTGTAGCCAGCCTAGAATTTGGTCAGTGAATTCTTCAGGGATCAGATGTATCTATTAGGGGGAGCTTTTTATTCAGGGTGTGTAGATTCACTGGGACGCAGTGAAATTCATTCTCTTTCAGTAACATGCTTAGGAGGCCTAGTAGAACTCTATGAGAGTTTTAGAAGGTAAGCCCTAGGGAATAACCATGTCTGTTGTGGGGAAACAGATGGCTGCTTACAAAACTTTCAGTTTCTTTAACTAGGCCTTGTATGCTCACCTCCATGAAGGCCATTTCCTCTCTGATATTACCCCTGTGTTTGTCTAATGCTAATTTAAAGGCTCTCCACCTGTTTTCAGCCCATGTCAGGGGTGGTGCCAATATGCTTGTGAAACAAATGTCATTTGTGTTGAGCTGATGAGGGGGAGGGGGCATAGTTGAACCAGACATTGTAAATTGTCCATGCTTCAGTGAAGGTCTGTTTCTTTGCAACTTAAAATATTCATTCCCCACCCCTTCCCATTTTTCTCAACTTTAAAAGGACTAGGCCAGACTAATTAACTTATTGAAAAGGTTTCTAGTTTTGGTGCCATTTAAATAGGGGTCTTTTGCTAACTTGATCTTTTGTAAATCTGAGCTTGAAATTTGCCTTTATATAGCCATCATAAATTAAAAAGTCGATCTCAAATTCTCCCCTCCTGATGACATTTTCCACATGAAGCTTTGGTCTTAACTTGGAGAATCTCTAAGTACTTTGCAAATGTTAAATTTCATAGTCCCTTTAATGAGCTTGGTACTAGTGACCACTTTGCTGAATGGAAAGATGAGACTTGAGTGGAGTCTACACAGTCCAAAAATGAAGGGGAAAGTTAACAATCACACAGAAATTTGATTAACATAACAAAGTTGATATAGATCAGGGATTCTTAACCTTTTTTGTGACCCCGGACTTCCTGGGAAGTTTGGTTAAACTGATGGACTCCTCAGAATCATGTTTTGAAATGCATAAGATAAAATACATAAGATTACAAAGGAAACCAAAGGTTAGTCAAAATAATAATGTATCTTTTCCCCTAACCAAGTACATAGAGCTCCTGAAAGGGATCTGTGAATCCCAGGTTAAGAACCTTTTATTTAGAGAGTTGTTTGGGGTGTTGTTGTTCATCCTTCATTTTCAAAGAGTCCTAATGACTTCACAGGATAATGTCTAGACTTACACATGAATTGGATTTAAGTGAGGCAGAGTTGTACAAAGTCATCAGCCTCACCTTCTCCTCCAGAGTCACCAAAATCCAATTGCAAGACAATGGCCCATGTAGATGATCTTGGCGTCTTTGATGTCTGACCAAATTCTAAGAGCTCCACAATGCTTGCTTCAGCCACCTTCATGGCCATTGGAACAAAATTTTCTCATCCTACCATTCCACCGAGGAAGTGTTCACATACTTGAAGTAGATACCCTTCTAACTCACTGACCGGTTTGAGCCCTATGGATTACCCTCAACTTGGTTTAGCCCATCTGCCAAGATGATTTTACCAGGATTTAGCCACTGCATATGCTATAACTTTTTGGAGCCACAGGTGAGAGTTGAATGAAGATGGCCACCAAAGGTAGATGAGCAGCTCTGAAAAGGGCTCAGCAAGTCCTCATACCAGAGGTTGCTAGTCCTCCCTAAACACCTCATATACCTCTGTCTAGGGTACTGAGATATTAAATGACTTGCCCATGATTTTATAGTCAGTATGTCCCAAAGGCCAGGGATATGAACCCAAGTTTTCCTGACTCCAAGGTCCAACCTCTGTTCATTTTACAACTCTACCCTTCTCTCTAGACAACTTTCTATTCCAGACTATTCCCAAAGTGGATTTTTCTTTTGACAGAATTGTCCAATCTGAATAAACTAGTTATTTGCCACTTCAGAGTGATCAGATTTTAGTTACAAATACTTAAGGTCTCTCAAAATGAATTTTTTTCCTATGAATTATTTAGTAAAATTGGTCATATATGAGATTATCTTACCAAAGACTTCACTTGATGGTTGGTCTACTAGTGATAATCCTTTCCATGTTTAGGTAAGTTGGTCTTTTGAAAGCATCTCAGTCTGAACTTTATAAAATTGTCCAGGGCTTACATCCTTCAAGAGTTAAGGGTCACTTTCATGACATGATGAAGCACTGGTGTTGGACTTTTTTCCCCATAGCCTGAATTATCTCCATAGTTACTAACACTCCCCTTGATTTTCTGTACAAAGGCTGAGCTCTGACCCAATACCAGGTTCAGAGTTGGATCCAACCTCTTGCCCCATAATTGTGTTAATCACTAGTCTCTTTCTTCATTTCCCCAACCACTTTCTGACCTTAGTTTCACAATAGTGCCTTGTCACTGACTGTTTTTCTTTTAAACTATTAAAAGAGCAAGAGCATTAAGCCTGTCTGAAGTGTAGGAACTGAAATGTAATGTAAGTGGATGCCTGTTTATAACAAGTAACAGTTTTGGAGGATCAGATCCACTTCATTGTGATGGATTTTCAGCCATCAGAATGGCATTTTCTTTCTTTAATAAGCATGCTGAAAAAATCCTACATAGGCAAAGCAAGAGTTGACACATCGATTTCAGCGACTTCTCCAGCAAAAACCAAGTCAGATAGGATGAATGACTCCTTTCCCAGAAAGCCCATTCTTTCCCATCTAATTGCCTTTCACAAGTCATTAATTCCCCAGAGACTAGAAAAAAAAAAGGTATTTCCCAATTATCCTGCCACTGGGAGAACATTGCAGGTGGATCAAGACTGAGGCTTAGTAAAAATGACCAACTTAATTGGAGCTGCCTAATCACAAGATATGGACTCCTTTTATTCCTGACCTTCCATAATGCTCAACTCATTAGTTTCTGTGTTATTCTCTGAGCACCTGTCCGTGATTCTTGGGCTGGGGCTGAGGCTGTTTCAGGAAATGATTGTTTAAGGGTATGTTTAGATCTCTATGATTTTTATCTCATACCAGAGAAATCTAGTACACTGTAAGGTAGAGGGATATTGTGTGGGAGAAAGGTTGCTGGTCGTAGATAGGAAATGTGTATAAATATTCACTCATCTCTGCTGGTACTTGCCAAAATGATAAGAACTTTCTCTACTTGGCTCTGTTCAACCTAAGTATTAAGTGATCTTCCACTTCTCTAATTTTCCTAAAGTATTTTGTCTGGAGTTCTTCTTTTTTAAAAAAAAGTCTGAATCATTCGCTACCTTTTATCATACTTATTGGTCTATGCATCATAGTTTCTCTACTATACTGTAATCTCCTTGAGGGAAGAATCAACCTTGTCTTTGAATTCCACAGCAAGCATTTAATAAGTATTTGTTAAAAGTGTTTGTGTTATTAAGGTTATATATGAAGCTTACTGGAGGTGGGAGTGTTCTTTGATTCTTCAGGAGCATAGAATGTGAAATCTTGAAAGGACTCTCACTTTACAAACGAGGAAGCCAATGTCCAGGGAGATGAAGTAATTTGCCCAAGATCACAAGAGTAGCAATTAGCAAAGTTGGATTTCAAACCCAAGTCATAAGATGCAGAGGTGTCAGACTCACAAGGCTGCAAAATTTCTGTCTGGCCCATCCAGATTAAAATGTGATTGGGAAATATTTAATAAAATAAATAAAAATACATTGCCTAGTCTAATATCTCATTTTGCAGATAAGGAAACTGAGACCAGAGGGAGGTTAAGGAGTATTCTACTTCTTCAGAGCTATTCGAAAAAAAATATCCAATCCGTCTATCACAGGTAGTAAATCCTTCTACCACAGGTAATTTCCAATATACAGAGGCCAAGGCCAGGGGTTAGCTTCTGAAACTTTCAGATTGTAATAAACCAGGTAATACCTTGGGACCACGAGAATATTGAAATCCATGGTTTATGTTTGTAAAGCCACCAAGCTATTGCAGACTGCAGAGAGCTACATTCTCTCAATTTTGAAGCTATGAGGTCAAAGCTTCACATGTAAGAGGTGGTAGTACTAGAATTTCTATTTTGTGAGGGGTAAGGTGGGAGTGGGGCTTGTCAAAGGCCATGTTGCCCTCATCATTCCCTCTCTTTACTACGGCTCTTCTATTTTATGTCCCACCTTTCAGGAAAAGGTTCCAGGGCTTTTCCCAAATATTTGCAGAGTCAGGACACAGTTAACAAAAACCAGAAAACCCTACACCCTGTTTATGTAGTTTTGGTAAGAAAAGTGTTTTGTAAGCCTTGAAGTACTCTGTACATATGATTTGTTATTATTGTTTTCTTGGGAGGTTGAGGGCAGTTTCCATGTTACTGGTAAGTTTTATGGAGAAGAATCATAGCAGCATATCACCACATAGCCAGGGCATGTGATCTTGCCCATAGCCTGATGGAGCCTTAGGGTCTAGCAGGGAACTTTATTGCTCTCCTCTTTGCTCAGGACCTCTGACAGTCCAGAAGCAGAGCTGAGAGGACCAGGAAAGTATGAGAGCTGGGAGTGGAGAAAGGACTATGTATTCCAAGGCCAGAAGAGGAGTGCAGCAGCATTGTTTGCCACCTAGACAACAGACTGATGAGAAGCATAGTTTAGGCCTAATAGAAATCAGGCAGAAGATATAAGAGAAATTGAATCCCCTGTGCCTTATTTTCTTACTTTCTACTCCATTTTGGCTTAATTTGCACACCCTCTTTGAGAAGGAAATCTGGCTTTTTAAGATGTCTGAATTCCTTCCTACAGCTTAGTAGTAAAGGGGAATGCTAACCAGGGGAAGAGATAGTGAACAGGGTGGCAAATGACAAGTGTGGGTAGGACCATTGTAAATTTTGGAGGCTGAAGAGAATTCTGAATCCCTGATAGCTTTGGTAAAATTTTCTTCCAAGTCTGGTTAGCCAATTAGAATTCTTCCTCTCCCTCCATCCAGTTAGACAGACAAAAGCCATACACCTTCCCTCTCACCTTCCAGATTTCATCCACTAAATAATCTCCATGAGTTATATGTAATATCTGTACTCTCCCCATACCTTCAGACAAAAAATAGCTAAGTTCTTAGAAAAGGTAATTTTTTTTGAGATTTTTTTTCCTGTTTATATCGTCTCACCTCCCATCTCCCCATGGGTCCCTAGTTCTTCTCACATTTCCCATGAGGAATGAGGAGAGAGCATGTGAAAGAGAGAGTGAGCCCTTCTCCTTTTCCTTCCTAGTGTTTCCTTGCCTCAGGCCCTTCCTCTCCACCCCTCTACCCCTAAGGCCAGCACTTTGCCAGCATGAGACAGGGCAGTAGGACTCCTAATCAAAAGGCCACAGGTTCTTTTGAGTGTGAAACCTGAGGTTAGTTTTTGACACCAAATGGGTACCTAGTATTTCCACTTGTCCACTCACAGGACCATTGCTGAAGCCTTGGCACTCTTTCAACACTGTTAGTAACTTAAACCGGGCCACTTGGCTTACCCTAGAGATACTAATTGCTTTAGTGAAAAGGTTACCTCTGACTATCCCCTTACATGTCATGATTGGCCCTAAAAATAGAAGGGCTACTGAACTGGGAATCAGGAGAGCCTGGGAACTAAGTTTTGCAGGTGGCTGTTTGAAAAATAATCTATAGTTTCTTTCCTCCCCTCTGTCTCCCACCTTCCCTTTTTATCTCTGCCCTCCCAGCTTTAATACTAAGTCTATAAACCACACTTTCTTCAGCTCTCACCTTAGCCTCACTCTGGTATATAAAAGAAAAACAAGGTGAAAGTTAGAAGTGTTTTGAGTTCCTTAGGCAAAAGTATTCTGTGACAGAAACAGTGTCTGGTGTTCCTTGACCTGTAGGAGATTTGAGGAGCACAGTATGATAAAGAATATGCTTTTTAAAATTGCTAATAAAAACCAAACTTGATCTGACAGCCCTAGTCTGGTTTTCCTAGGACATAGGTCCAGGTTTGATTAGTAACTTCTAAGAGAGTGAATAGGCTACATTTGAAAAACAAACCCAAACCAACACACTAGTAACAGAGATCTCGGGCAATATTCTTTCTTCAATGCCAGCCCCACTAAATGGCAAAAGCCCCCAGATAAAGAATGCTTCCTTCTCTGAGGGGAGGGGATGTCTCCTTTGGGAATTCAACACCTAATGGGCCTCAGGGCAGAAGTGCCTCTTGCCCCTTCCCACCACCCCACTCCCACCTCAGCCATTCAGCAATGCCTGCATCCTTTTATGAGGCTGCCTGGATATTCAGCTCAGGGAAAGTACCAGAATTAGTGGGAAGAGAAATGAGGGGCTGAGCAACAAAGAGCAAATACATCACAACCATAGGCAGAAAGCCCAACTTTCTCCTTGGACCCCAGACGTCATTCAATTGGGACAAGAAGGGAGGGCAGAGCTATGACCCTTACGGGTGTAAGGAGTGTCATGGTACACAGGATGGCATCACGTTGGGAAAGGGAAGGTTTTGTTAAAATACCTATCTTCTCAGAGCCTCTATCACTTCCATGGCCACCTACACAAACCATCTCAGTTAGTTTGCCTCATTGGGTCCATGTGGGGTTTCTGGCTGGAGATTATGTTCCATCTCCTTGGGGCACAGGAGTCACACAGAGCTGCTAGTCTCTCTGGCTCTCCCCAGCCCCTCTGCTTCTTCCTCTCCTTCCTCTGCCCTTTGGCCCAATCCCTCCTTGGCACAGCCCCCTAGCAGGGCGGGGCTGGAGAGGTACTGAAGGAGCCGCCCTTCTCGCTGGGCCTCCGCCAGCTCCTTGGCACAGCAGGTGGGTGTGTTGGTCTCGTAGGTGTCGTGGAAGGTATTGTAGTCTACCTCGTAGAAGCCCTTCTCTAGGGTGAGGACTGGCGTGAAGCGGTGGCCCCAAAGAACCTCAGTGTCCATATAAGAGCTGCGGGCCTGGCAAGTCATGCCTAGGAGGACACAGGACAGAGAGAATTAGAGATCCTGACTGGGATGTGGCTGTTCACATTAATAAAAGTTTTTCAATTGATTCATGTGTGTCCATAGGAACCGGTGACACCCTAGTCCTTTCCTGGGATTCTTTCACACACATACACAGGGATAAAACCACATCCATACAAAAAGATAGCTCTTGGAGTCAGTAAGCATGTATTAAGCACCTATAATTTGCCAGGCACTATGCTAAGTGCTGGGATATAAAAAGAGGCATAAGGCAAGACCTTCTATTCTATCTGAATGTTTCTCTGCTGGTTGGCTCACTTGATAAAAGGTTTCAAATGGTCCTCCTACAGGCAAGATTATTTGCCCAGGTAAAAGCTGGTTCACCACAATAGCCAGTGCTTGAAATTCCATTAGGCCAGCTTGCAAATGTGTGCCATGCTATTGGTTACAAGGTGGATTGGCTGAGAGAGTGTGGAAGGCTCAGCACAGCCTATCACCACTTCTGGGAAAATAATAGAAATGTGGACAACCTACTGGTAGTGGATCAGTAGCATCATACATCTGGACTTCAAGGATTCATAATTTTATCAATGTAGGTACTCCCTCTGCAGATGCAGATAGCAGACCCCTAATCCTGAATGATGATAGTTAACATTTATTTATACAGTGCTTTAAGATTTGAAAGGTTATCTTATCTGATCATTGCAACAAACCTGTAAAGTAGATGCTATAATTTATCCCCATTTTACAGATGAGGAAATTGAGACTGAGAGAGGTTAAATAACTTGTCCACAGCTAATAAGTAACTAGGCTGGATTAGAATTCAGGTCTTTCTGACTCCAAGTCCAGCACTCTGTCCACCACACTAGCTTGGATGTGGTCTTCGTGGATTGTCGTAGCTAAATATGCATTGCTCAATGAGTACAGGGCTTTATTTCTTGTTTTTTGTTGTTTGTTTAATTTTCATTTGTTTTTCATTTTCATTTTTTAAAATGTTCGTGTTTGTTATTGTTAGGTTCAGAATGGAAAAAAAAGAAAAAGAAAAAAAGAAAAAGACAAGAATTATTCAGTAGACAGCCCAGTGATAGACTTCTCTAAAATTAACTAGGATGGTCCTTGGATGAAGCGCATATCATTTATTGCCAGCCTGCACTCAAAACCTTGGTTGGACCTATCAGAACTTGGGCTCCACTGGCATTGCCTCCAAGAACCCCTGAGTCCCCTTCAGACCCCAATAAGGTATCAGAGAAGGCCTTCAGCGGGAGCCTCAGGTCCACATATCAAAAACGAGGACTACTGTTATTACTAATAATTACTAGTCACCTCCATAGTCCCTCCCTAATCTGTATATTCGGAATATGCATTTTCTTTTAAAAGAAAGAAATATGCACATGCACACATCCTTGGTTCTTTGCCCAAGGACACTACATACTTCATCACCTCTTATTCACCATCAACATTGCTCTGGTCCTCTTCGACTTTCTGTACGCTCAGTATTTTTAGATTTAGGCTTCCCCCCAGAGAGGGAGGGAAGCTCTATTTTATGGATGAGAAAGTCTCCATGTTTTGGAACACAGGAAAGTAAACTTTCAGCAGTTCTTTGGACTGAGGAAATATACCCTGTGGGCAGGGAGGAGAAATATTTTTCTCTTGCCCAGAAGGGAACCTGGTTTAAAGTCAGTTTTTGTTCATTTGTCTATTTGTCTTTTATCAGTTTGAATTTTCCTACATTATCAAGCCTGTTCAGGGTTCTAGGCCATGTGCTGTCTTCTCTCAGAAGCTGCTTGCCCAAGTCAGTTCTCCTTCACTGGGATGAACACTGCCATGTTGGAGAGCTGAACAAGTTGGAGGCAGGCTGACTCCGAGGGTTCACCCAGAAAGAAAAGACTGGTGGGAGGCTGGCCCACAGCTTGTATCAGACAAGCAGTTTAGTTTCTCACTTTTTCTCTCCCTCAGCTTCCAGGGCTTCTTGGATCTGGTTCTTCTGCCCGACGTTGGCCACCATGTGGCTGAGATTCCTGTGTCAGCATTTGGGGGAGGTGGCCTTTCTTCAACATCCTTTGATTTCCTTTGGGCTATCTATTTGTTTTGCCAGGCCAGACTGACATTGCTCCTTGGGTGGGGCTGATGGTGAGGTCCATCTTGGTGCTACTGTCCTAGAGGAAAGCTACTTTATTGGGATTCCTACATGGTACCTGAGACTGCTGTGAACTCTGGTGCTAGGTATCAGCTAGGTGGTATAGCAGATGGGAGTCCTGGGTTTGGAGCTAGGAAGAACTGAATTAGAATTCTGCCTTAGATATTAATAGCTATGTTAACAATGACAAGTCATTTAATCTGTCTCAGCCTCACTTTCCTCATTTGTAAAATGAGAATAATAATAGCACCTACTTTACAGGGTTGTTGTAAAGATCTAATGAGATAACATATATATGCTGCTCTTTGTAAACCTTAAAGCACCATATAAATACCAGCCATTATTTTCTAATGGCCAGCATTTTGAGGACTCAGGGCTTCTTGACTAGCACTCTTACTAGGCACTCCCTCCAGCTGCTTCTTCTCAATTGTATTTTTACAGCATTTCACACTTTTCAAATGCTTTCTTATCTAGTATTTCACGTGAACCTCATGACAATCCTATGAGGTAGAAAGGGCATATGTGTAACGCTTAAAAGTCACAGGGAGAAACACAGAAGAATGCTAACTGCCATCCAAATACAAAAGAGCTCCAAGAAATAAGTTTAGGCATATTCCAGTTTTTCTTAGTAACCATCTATCACTCTATTATCCATGTTTGGCAAAACAATTTTTAATCCATTTAAAAATAGAGCCACTGGGGAAATGAGGTCCTGTAAGTCTATTATTTACTATGAGGGGTACCACTTCCTGTAGGATACAGAATCATTCAGGGCCACAAACGGGTGCTTCAGTGACACTGGTACCAAAGACTATTGAGTCCTGACTTAGGGTGAGCCCTTCTGAACTAGTATGTATGGTCAGGCTATTGGGGTTGTATTGTCCCATTGTTTGGAAAGCTTCTGCATATAGGTCAAGAGTAACATTTCTAGGAGTAAAGGAATTGTGCTTCTTGGCTTCCCTGTAGACATACCTCTAAAGGCAGGACCAAATGGAGTTTGAGGGGGCTTCCTATCCCACCTGCTACTCCCTTGGGAGGAAGCTGGCATGGTGGTGCTACTTTCCATGACTTCTTTGTTTGTTTGTTTCTTTAGGCAATTGGGGTTAAGCGACTTGCCCAGGGTCACACAGCTAGTAAGTATCAAGTGTTTGGTGTGAGTTCAGATTTGAACTCAGGTCCTCCTGACTTCAGGGCCAGTGCTCTATCCACTGTGCCACCTAACTGTCCCTCTCCATGACTTCTTTGGGAAAAATAACAGGATTGGTGTTGGCCTGCCCCTGTCACTTCCCACTGGACCGCAGAGCTGACAAGGGAAGAGCATTATTCCTATGTGCTATTCTATTTCATCAGGGGGAGAGGAGTGACATCAATTACTTGTTCTGGTTGGTATCTTTGCCCTTGCTTGTGGTCATCATTAATGATGATGATGGTTTGAGGGGACACTAGCCTATCTCTGAATGACCACTTTCCCCCCTGAGAATCTCCTTGTTCTAATCTGGACTCCAAGGTCACAGACAGGGTAACTTTCAGAAGCTGGGGAGCTTGTCATCCCCAAGCACTGGCAGTAGTTGGCTTCTAGCATTTGTGATTATGTACGGCCCCATTGGTTCCTGGGGCTGCCACCATGTGCCATTTGGCAATTCACTGCAACTCCAATGAGATGTTCAAGCCCAGACTAGTTGTACGGCCACAGAGTAAATCATGGGAGTTCCTATTCCAACAGCCCCTGGCATCCTGCCTTCCTGCTACCCCTCTATTTCAGGTTTGGACTTGAAATATCTCTAGGCCCAACTCCAAAGTGGGGAGGATTTGGGGATGGAAGATGTTGTTGAGTTTCTTTCCTCCTAGAGCAACTTTCATCCAGCCCTCCAGATCAAGGCTCACTCTTGGATCATGATGCCCTGGGTAGGTTTGGTTCATTTCCTGATATTCCCAAATCTGGAAAGGCAGAAAGCACAGGCATGGCAGATGGGAAAAAGGATGAGAGGTTAGTTATAAGACAGAAAATCAGCAGTAGGAAAGGGCAGGGCAAGGGTTGCTGGGATCTTAGGGGCCTGGTTTTGAATCCTCACTCTGCTACTCATTCCCTGTATGAACTTGGGCAAGACACAACCTCTCTGGGCCTCATTGTTCTCATTTGTAAAAATAAGTTGGTTAGATTAGATGTCCTGAGATCTGATCCTGTGATTCCTCACAATGTCCTGCTGGGGGGAAGGAGGCAGAGGTCAAGGACCCTGAGTTGGCTCACAAGCCCTTGGCTTTTTAAAACTAAGTTGTGAGTGTGCTGCATTGGCACAGAACCAAAAAGGCTCTTTGTCATCAGGTGTCTCTGAGCAGCAGCAGCTCCAGGCCAAGGTGCCAGGTCAGGACACCGGGATGCATTTCCATGGCTCCTCTGCGTATTTATGTCTCATTGAGGATGCAGTATTATGTACAAGTGAAGAACACTGGGTTCTCTGCCCACGTGCTGGACAAGCAGGCAGGCAGACTTCTAAGGGCATGTAGACAGAATCCTATTTTGGGGGAGGAGTAAAGAGTAAATTATATCCCCAACTACTCCAATTTCCAAGGCATTTTAAAGTTTACAGTGAGATTCCTTTATAACGGCACTACAAGGGAGGGGTGCAAATATTTCCCCCCTCATTTTACAGGTGAAGAATTTGAAGGTCAGAGAGGTGAGATGATTTATTCAAGCTAGTTGGTCTCAGGCCTGGGTGCTAATCCTGCTCTCTTTATCCTAAGTTCTATGTTCTCTCCACTATATCAAGCATTTTCTGTGAACTCTAGTCCAAGAGTCCTTAACCTTTTTTTAAAAATCCCATCCTTTGGCAGTCTGGGGAAGCCTATGGACCTCATTTCAGAATAATTTTTAAGTGAATAAAACAAAACACACTGGTTTGCAAAATAAACCAATTATATTGCAATATGCTCATCAAAATATTTTTTAAAAAGTTCATGGATCTCAAATTGAGAACTCCTGATCTAGTCCTTCCTAGCCCTGACATGTTGAAATGTCTTAAAAAAATATTTGAATTTCATAATCTGTGGTACAAGTTACAAGCTCTCCCAAAGACCTGGACTTTATGTTTTCATATGGGGCTCTGACTTTCTTGGACAAGGGATGTAGAGATTGGGTAGCACCATAGGATTATTGATTAAGAGCTATTAGGGTCACTGAGTCCTGAATCCCAGAGAGATATGTAACAGAGCCAGAATATAGGGAGGTCACCGCAAAATAAGCTGCTCCATTGACCTTGAGAACAATGGGTCATGTCTTACCTGTAGCTTCTACCATGCCTTCTAAGATGACTACCACCTCAAACTCTTCCTGATTCAACTGTGCCCTGGACATCTCCCAGAAAGGGCTCTTCTCATTGATTTCATGGGAGATGATGAGTGGCGACACCAGGAAGAGGCGGTCATCCCCGGTGTCAAAACCCACATTAATGTCCGTCTGATTTAGGGGAATGAACTCCCCTTCTTTGGTCTGCCTGGACTTGATGAGCTTGGCCCTTATGGAGGCCTCTACGATGTGAGAATTGCGGAGATCGCCCACCCGGAACATGAGGCAAAGCTTATCATCCCGCATAGAAATGACAGCATTGTTAGAAAACATGAGAGTCTCTGCCCTCTTCTTGGGCTGACTGATCTTGACAAACATGCAGCCCACCATGAAGGCATTGACTATGGAACCTAAGATGGCTTGGACCAATAGGAGGATGATCCCCTCTGGACACTTCTCTGTGATGACCCGGAAGCCATACCCAATGGTGGTTTCTGTTTCAATGGAGAACAGGAAGGCAGAGACAAAGCCACTGAGATTCTCAACACAAGGAACCCAGTTTTTGTCCCCAACATGGTCCAGGTCTCCCCGAATGTATGCAATGAGCCACCAAATAAAGCCAAAGAACAACCAAGTAATGGTGTAGACCATGGTGAAGACAAGGAGATTGAAGCGCCACTTCAAATCCACCAGTGTTGTGAAGAGGTCACTCAGGTAACGATAGGTTTCCTGGACATTACCATGATGCACGTTACACTTGCCACTCTTCTCCATGTATCGCTGACGGGGCTTCTTGGCTTCTGTCAGAAGACGAGTCCGATCAGTAGCGATGGGGATATAATCACGGGCCTGTTTGGGAATCTTCCTGGGGTCTCTGGGGGTGGTTCCAATCTCCATGTCTTGGTTCATGGAATTCCTAGAATCTCCAGCCATAGCTTTGCTAGTTTGGGGTAAAAGAGACATAAATCAGTGATACCGATTTTTTTGGCTTAGCTGAACATGTTCTAAGTAGAGAAATCTAGCAAAACATAGAGAAATATGGAATCATAATGGTGAAAGGCACCATAAAAATATGTAAATCCAACCCCTTCCAATTTTGCACATGGGAAAAACTGAGACAAAGTGACTTGTCCAGATTTACTTAACAATTTAATGGCAGGGCTGTAACTAGGACCCAGATCTCCTGACTTTTTCCATTGTATGATTCTACCTTAAAATGTAAAACAGCCATTTTTACTAAGTAGAATGCAAATGTATTTAACATGCTTGGAGTGAATCAATTCAATAAACCTTTATTAAATGCCTACTTTGTGGACACCATTAGAGAAGGCAAAATGTGAAGGGAAGATACAAGTTTAGAGGTCCTTGTCCTCACAGAGCTTTCATTTTAGCAGGAAGCCATGTACACACATGCATACATCCACGTACATATATATAAATATACACACATGTCTACCTGTACACAGAAACTATGAAACACAATAATACATGATAATTGAATTAGAGAGGTTTAAACTACCATGTAAAGTGCAAGGGGGAAAAGGTTGTTATCAACTGAGGGAAATCAGGAGAGTTCTTGAAGGTAGCAGATGAGCAGGGCTTTAATAGGAATTCCAAAAACAAATATTCCAGGTGTGGAGTACTGTATGAGCAAAGGCTTGGAAATAAAGAGAGGTTGGGTTTGGTAAGGGGGAAAGGTATGATGTTGCCAGGTTGTGGAGGAATCTGAATGCTAGGCAAAGATGTTTAAACTTCGTTTGGTAGGCAAGAGAGAGAGAGAGACACTGAAGATTTTTGAGTAGAGAGGAAAACAACCAGACACATGCAAGAAAAAAATTATTCTGGTGTTGTATAAGGGATGGATTAAAGGGGGAAGAGGGTGAAGGCAGAAAGATATTTCAGGTGGCCATTGAAATAGTTAGAAAGGTGCTATGTAGGACCTGTACTAGGGTGGTGGCCATGACAGTAGATAGGAGGGGATGATATAACAGAGAATAAAAATATAGAATAACATGGAGTGATAAATCTGTCCAAAGTTTGAATACATGATAAAAGGTGACTATATATAATCCTCCCCACCACCACCACCACCACGATGAAAATGCCACGTTCAAAAGTGTAATCTTGCTTGACCTGCTCTCTCAAGATGCCCCAGATACAGTCCCTGCCTTCTAAGAGCTCGTGAACCACAACACCATATGGCAGGATTTTCATCATAGACTTGTAGAGCCCAAAGTGAGTCCAGAAATCCTTTAGAATGTCAGTTTCCCAATGTCTTCCAAATAGGTCCCACAGAACTTTGAGATGGGGTTCATACTTTATCCAGCTTGCTTCCATAGATATGTAATGACACCCACCTCTCTACAACTTCCTAACCTAGGGAGCTTACATGTTCATTTCACATGCAGCTGGAAAGAATTGGCTTTTCTATTGTGATGTGGGCTGAGAATATGTGGAGCCTGCAGACGTAGGTAGTCCATGATTTATACTTTGGCTATTTAAGCTGCCCCTCCAGAAAATAGATCACATTTAATATCACCTCGAGGGACACAAGTCATTTAGACCCTTTGTCATTTTTATGAGCAGGCTTGTCTTGATTTTACCTACATTCATCTCACTAAAGAATCAGGGCTGTTGTTTAAACAAATGCAAAGCATTCTTCATAAATCTACCAGCACATAAATCCAGCGCAACAGCCTCTTCTGGATCCCCTACCATAGAAAGCCCCTACATTTCTTTTTCCCTTCTTGGGCTAAGTCCAGCAGGTTCATAATGACCTTCCCCAAATTAAATGATGGGGTCATATAAGGAACTGTTTGCTTTGTATCTTTAATGTGCATTTCCCACTCTCTTTTATACCACCTGCTCCCCATTCCCTGTCAAGCCTCTGACAAGGATAAATGAGACAATGAGATTGAAAGGCTTAGAGTTTCTTTACAGAAAAGGTGAAAATCAAGTCTAGGCCTGAATACAGGTCTTCATCAAACAGGGTTGGGGAACTTGCGGCCTTGAGGCCACATGTGGCCCTCTAGGTCATCAAGTGTGGCCCTTTGACTGAATCCAAATGTCACTGAACAAATCCCCTTAAGAAAAAGATTTGTTCTGTAAAACTTAGACTCAGTCAAAAGGCCGCACCCGAGGACCTAGAAGGCCACATGTGGCCTTGAGGCCAAAGGTTTCTCGCCCCTGGTCAAGGACATTATTCTTTCATCAGAATCATACATTCATTCAACTATCATTATGAAACACCCTTAGTGTGCCAGGCACTGTTCTGAGATACAACATTGAAACAGTTCCTGACTCCAAGAGGCTTACATTTGCAAGGGGTAGGGAGGGTAGATAGAAATCCTGCTCTTCTGAAATGAAAGATGCCCAGAGATGGGTAAAATAGACATTTGTATCCAACAGCAGAATAGATTCTGGACAGTCCAATTACTAGAACTCTAAGCAACAATATCATGGAAATTTTAAATACTGGGATCTGGGATGTGCTTTGCGTGCAATGAGTATGCTGCTCTAGGATGTACTCAGGAAAAGAGAAGACTTTAGATTAGCCCCCTCGCAGTTGTTACAGGATGCTTTGTGCTGATTTTTTGTTGTCTTCCTCTCTTATCCAACTTACTCTCACCCAGAATCACAAGATAAAGCTTTCTAGAATATTTAAAAAGAATCAAGAGTGTTCTAAGCACTAATACCCATATTTGAAATTCTCCTGTAGAAGGACCCAAAAGGGGTAATTTGAATATTAATTGCCATTTTATAGCAATTCATAATTTCCAAGATATTTTATAATAATCTTCATCAGTTATAATAAGAACTTAAAATAACCTTATAATAAGTTTATAGGGTACTTTCCACACTGTATGGTATTTAAAATTATTTAAAATAATAGTAAGGTAGATGATGCCACTATTGTTGTTACCAATTTACATATAAGTAAGCTGAGACTTTGAGCAGAAATGGTTACAGAGTTCTAGTCCTCCTTCCACAACTGACTTCTTCACTGACCCTAGGAAAATCCCCTTAGCCTCTCATTGTGTCAGTTTGCCCACCTGTAAAAAAAGAGATCAAAAGAGCAACCCTGGGTGCCTCATAGTGCTATTATGAGGACCAAAAGAATCTATAAATAAAAATTCTTTGTGTTTTTAGGAAGCACTGTGAAAGTGTAAGCTATTACCAGCTTCATTTTAGAAATGAAGAAGTTGAAGCATGGAAAGCCCAAATAATGTGTCCAAAGTCAACCTGTAAACAATTCACTTTGACAAGAGTTTTGTGATGGAATACTACTGTGCTGTAAGAAATGATGAGCTGGTTGATTTTAGAAAAACATAGAAAGTATTGCATGAAATAATGAAGAGTGAAATGAGCAGGACCAAGAGAATGATATATACAGTTCGAAGCAATATTGTTTGAAGAATAATTGTGAACAACCTAGTTATTTTGAGTATTGTAAATACTCAAATTAACTACAAAGGACCTATGAAGGAAGATGCTATCCACACTCTCAGAGAAAGAACAGAAAAATCGAAGTATGCATAGTATTGTTTTTTAATATATTTATGAGTCTGTGTCAAATGGTGGCCTTCTCTTGTGCCGGGTGGGGAAAGAGGGAGGGAGATAGTTTGATACTTAAAATATAACAAAAAAATTAATTAAGAAAATAAAGAACAACGAGGTTAGTTTTTTGTTATCAGCAAAACAAATAAACAAACCAACCAAAAACCCTTACTAAGTGCAAGGTGCTGGGGACTGAAAGCCAAAAGTGAAATATAGTTCCTGCCTTCAAGGAGCTTACATTTTACTGGGAGTATAGCTGGCCTTCAGCTTGAGACAGGCCATGCCTTAACTCTCTGAATTCTCGTGTCTCATTTCAAGGATTTGCAAAAATTTTTATTCCAAAAATCTCCTTAAGGTCAAAAGGACTTGCAGGGATTTTCCTTAATTGGACCCTTCAAAACTCAGAATATTCTCTTTGGATGAGGGGGCTTTGATAAATTCACTTCTAGAGAGATTCAGGAAAAGTGTCTGGCATATCATCAGCTACCAGGGTCCTCTAGCTGTATTCTGAAGGATGCAGACAAAGACAGTAACCTTAGCAAAACTTACTGCATTCTAAGCAAGTCCATTAGGGCTCTCTAGCTTTAATCTTTTGAAGGGGAGTGGGGAATGGTATATAGATGTGATTAAAGTTCTTGGGAAAGACAAAGTTTAAAGGTCCAACAAAGCAGATTAATCTTTTTGATATGAAAAGCACAAAAACCAAAAGGCAGACATAGGTAGGCAAAGGGAAGAGAGGCTTCCTAAGCTGGCTCACCAGCGAATCATGGCTTTCTCTCTAATGGGCTTAAGTGCCCCTCAGGACTAGAGGACTCACCTATCCACATTGATGGGGATTCTTCTCCAAGTTGTAGCTGCAGGAAGCCAGAAGTCACTGACATCCCTGGACAAATAGTACCTACAACTTAAAAGCCACATAATTTTCTGAAAAGAGCATTGAACCCTTGTCTCAGGATCAGTTTCCTTATCTGTAAAATAGGAATAATCAGAATCTACTTCTTCCTCTTCGTCTCCTAACAAAGAATCCCTGAGTTGTTTCTTTAAATGCAAATGGAGGAAGAAGTGTATTCTTATGAACTTTGGGGGTTGTGTGGCTCTGGGGTTAGGTACTTTCTTTACTTGTAAAGGTATATATATTTATATATACACTTGGATCACATGAGACCTTCCTCAGTGGGGGAGAAGGTGGTGACCTTCCTGAGTTAATGATTAGTAAGACAGAGGTTTCATTTGAGGAGATAAAGAGAAATCTTTTGAACCCCAAGCATCCCTATTGAAGGGTAGAGCAGAAACATTGGTTTAATGGCCTTTAATGATTTAGTATTATACTGAGTCCCTGAGAGGTCTGTACAACAGAATGCTGGATTAGCTCTTTCCTGGAGT